GAAAAGGGTGGTAAAGAGAAAGGGACTTCAATTAGGCCTCCGGCACCACACTCATCAGACGAAACACGGAATTGCTTCCATTTCACGCATGTCTTCTGTGTTCGTGGTACTCCGGGCGTGCCGGCCCATTCGTGCTAAGATGTTAAAGCGGGCACTACCACTGTTAAATCGACATTCTTCTATACTTTGATGTCAAATTTAGTATTATATAAAGAATATAAGCGATTAATAAATGGTAAGAAGTTAATAATATATTAATAATTAAAGTCAATTCGTTGTCACTATTAATTTTGCTTTGCATACCCGCATTGACGTATATTGACCGTCAGAACCTTGGGCACTGATAAATCGCATTACCACTTTACATAGAATATGCCATGCGTTTGTATTCTCGCACTAATTGACAAATTACTAGGACATGAAATCTAGGTTGTTTAATGACTTTGACATAACATTGTATGCTATTTTTGTTTTTTGCATATGTTTAAAATAGTATTAATGAATATAGCGTAGCAATAGTTGAGATGACAACATCTTACAGAAACCATATGAGTAAGTTAGGAACAATGAAATTGATTATCTGTTCTATACTTATACTGAAAAGAGGAAAGATTTGTATTTTTATATAATAATTTTGTATTTTCGGATGTATTGTAATACCTCAAAAAGTACTGACCCCATTTTAAAAATTCTTGCACCGTTAAAAAGTTATTATCGCTGAGTAATATTGGCTATAATTTCACATGGACGAAGTCGCGAGCAGAAGCTAGTCTTTAATGCTTTACATATTTACATATATAAAGAACATCCGAAACCGAGCATGCGTATGTTATGAAAGTTAAAAATTAATTGTGGTAAATCTGACATTAATAACGAGAGTAGTAATGTTGTTGATCGTTGTATGAAAATGTATTTTTGTTCACAGGTTAAGATATGGTTCCAGAACCGACGCAGCAAGTACAAGAAGATGATGAAAGCGGCGCAAGTGGGCGCGCCGCCGCCCAGCCTCGGCATGCCGCCTGGTAGCCCGCCTAGCAATAACCAATTACTACACGGTAAGACAAACAACATATCTTATGTTCATAGAACCAATCCTTAAATTAGACACGTTAAAAAGAAGAATAATCTTTTACTCGACGTGCTTACTCAAAACCGTAATCGTTCGTTTTAATTCTTTAAGTACTTCTTTGGCAAGTCATAATAAAAGTCATTGTATTGTCTATAAAGCACATATTCAGGCGCCATCTATAGTTTTGGTCGCTGTATCCGACATATAATTTTAACCGATGTTTGTAGGTGGCGGCGGCAGTTCTAGCGGATCGCAGCATTCACCGTCGGCGTACCAGAGCGGGGCTCAGGCACATTCGCCGACGCCGAGCTCGACGCCCGTCTCCGAACTCTCCCCGGGTCTCTCGCCCACAGGCACGTGGGACGTCAAACAACCGCCCCAGCCCGCCTGGGATGTCAAGGTTGGATATGTAAGAGTTTTTAATTACATATTAGTTAAAATAGCAAAAAACTATGACTATGACAATCCAGGGATCATTACGAATAGAATGACACCTCATTTGTTATAATATTTTAGGGTCAAAGCGATCACAAAGGAATTGTCATAGTCAAAAACTCTCTTGAATCTCGAGGAGGCCTACGCCCTCAGAAGAGACATCAGTCGTAGGCTGAGAGATATGCAAACATTCTCTTGTAAATCTCTGTTCTTCGAAAGATATGTGTAAATCTGAGAGAGAGACACACAAACATTTTCTTAGACAACATATGTTCTTTTAGGGAGTATGAAAGAGATAAATATATGTTTCTGTACAGATGTGGAATAGTAGTGTTAATATAAATGTGTTTCTTATAGCCGAATGCGGGTCGATCGCCGGACGGCACCTCATGCGACATCAAGCCTCCACACCAGCAGTCGTGGGACCCAAGAGTCGGCTATGTAAGTTTTTATTATATGTTTTTAAATAATCTTACTAATATTATAAATGCGAAAAATAAGATGGATAGATGGATGTTTGTTAGAGTTTATAGCTTTAACGGCTGAACGGATTTCAATGAAATTTGGTATAGACGCAGAAGATAGTCTGGAAGAACATATAAGCTACATTCTTTTGTTTTATCTAATTCTATGCCGATGGAGTCACGGACAAAAGCTAGTTATACATAATATCGGTTGGTAACGGACTTCCGTTTATATGAAATACTTATTTTATCAGTACCTGTATAGTTCCTGTATGTCGATAATTTTTTAATTCTTATAGAAGGATCTTAAAGTATGATCGATTTTACCAGACTTCCGAATAAATTTTGATTAAATACTTAAACAGAGGATGTAATCCTAAATTACAATTTGAAAGTAGAATTCTATTTATTAATTGACGTTTTTCATAAAAATTATAAGAATTAAAAGCTTAATGAACGAAGCTTAATGAATCAAAACAACCTTTTAAACCGCAATACGGGGTAAACTTCGGGCCGTTCGTAGCGTGCCAGTTTCCCCGTAACAATGTACTGAGAGCACGCCGTATAACATGTTACACTACACCTTATAACGTCAGTCAGTACTCAACTAACGATAGTGTTTTGTTTCATTTCTCGTGAATTGTTCTTTATCATTTAATATTTGCCTGACAATCATTAGAAAAGCGTCCATTAACTAAATAACGTAAAGCGAACTTGTTGCGTGTCAAATGAATAGTGCGATCTGTGAGCAGTTAGTAAAGGTAGAAAGGCGTGACCGACCGCGCCTTGCATTCAGCTGGATTAGTTATATGAGTCCATTAACTTAAGCTAACGGACGGTGGGGTTGACCACGAGAAGCGCTTTGAACGTCTAGAGTAGACACTCAACTTCAGTCTGGACAAAACACGAGTCTAATTAAAGAGACTCAAGTTCTGTCTAGACAGAACATAAGTCTCTAATCAGACTACAGAAAGCTAGGAGTATTGCAACTAAGCAGTCCCTTCTTGTATACTGCAATAGCATTAAATTCTGAAACGTACAAGTCCCATCTCTATGTGTATATCGATTTTGTATCGATTAAATGTCGTCGATATCTATACTGCACGCATTGTTCTACAATCGTATTTATATCGCTTCAAAAAGTCCCCGTGAGCAATAACCCTAAAGCTTTTACGATATAAGCCATTTACTTCATTAAAAGGTCAAAATACTTTAATGAAAATCGTTATAAAACCTACCAATGTTATTATAAAACACTTTCAATCGAGTCATAAACGTTCGCTTAGTTCCGTTTCATTTTATTTTATGGCTTTTAGTTTTATAATTATATGAAAATGATAATGAAGTTGTCAAACATCGTCCAGTTTTTGTAATGTATTCGAATAAAATTATTTTATATTCTCCTAGGAACCGCTAGCTGTTACTCTCGACTTAGTTTGCGACTAAATTAAATAATATAAAAATGTAACCTTCTACGTTACTCACTGATAACGTAGCTGTTTAAGGCGCGGTTATGGTAAATTGCGCATCTTTGGAAGTATAGAACAGGATTTCTACAAAGATTTGATTGGTGATATTTTAGTATGTGTAACTTCAGTCCTTTAACTCAAGGCTCGTGGAACAGAATCACGATTGGACAAACTTTTCTCGATAGATTTATTTTTTGAAAAGTTCCTGATTCTGTAAAAATCACCACATATCTGCAAAACTACAATGAAAATAAAAACTCGAAGTGGTTTATTTGATACACGAGTACTTTATCTTCCGTTAACCCGAAGCTTTTTCCAATACGTTGATTAGTTATTTTATAATCGAATTTAATTAAAATCTGCTCCTGATGGCATCACGATTTCGCGTCAATCCGCTCGCGGGCGTCGTTGGAAGTTTTTGAAATCGGCCCAGTAGTTTTTGAGTTATTTCAATACATACAAAAATACAAATATTTTCTCTTTATAATATTAGTATAGGTAGCCAAAAAAATCCTTTATTTCTAGTATAAAACGATAATCATACTTCAATTGAATGGATCTACAAAACGACTTAAAAAACTCGTTGGAATTTAACACTGATCTACGACGAAGTATGGAAGAACACAGTCTATTTACTCATCATCTTCCTCCATATCCTACTCCCGTAGCCACAACAAGTTTTTGCTCTCCACATAACTCTAAACGTCAATTTAGTTATCACTCACTGTTTGATCATGTCACCTTTTACGCAATCCAGGTATACCTCTACCAATGTACCCTTCACCACTCTTTCTATAAGTCTATTTACTATTTTTTATTCTATCTCTGTTCTAGTCTATTTACTGTTTCTAATTTGTTGGTGATAGCTATTATTTTATACATTATTTTATACAAAACGAGCTGTTGCCCGCGACTTTGTCCGCGTGGTATTAGTAAACATACGAACTATATAAATTACAAAAAACTACGTATCCCTCGGGAACCGGACATTTCTCGGGGATGAAGCTTATCCCATGTGAACTCCAGACTTTGTTTTATATCTATGCCAAATTTGAATAAGATATATCAAACCGTTGCAGAATGAACGAATAAACATTAAAAAACTAAATTAATGAATCCCACGGGAACCGTAACTATTCCCGGGATAAAAAGTAGCCTATGTGTTCTTCCAGACTATGCTCTAAACCTGTGTCAAATTTCATGGAGATCCGTTCAGCCGTTTAAGCTACAAACGCTAACAAACATCCATCCATCCATCCATCCATCCATCTAAACTTTCGCATTTATAATATTAGTAAGAAGTAAGATATATATATCAATATATATCATTTGTACATTAACCAGTATTAGTAACACAGTATGTCACAAGTTATGCGTTCTTATACTATGACATTATGTTAAGATGAGTAATCGATAAAGGTTAACTAGTAATTAACCTACATATAATAGTCATATGCTATCGATATTACTAAGAATAACTTATATGTCACATATTATATATACATAATTGAATACAACCCACGTACGATCACATCAAAACACGTTACCAAGATCTTTGTATTAACTATTGAATTTATTTAGGAGGGTTTACCTCATAACCGCTAAATAACGAATACATTTATGTACAAAAATGTTTAAACTAGATGCAATTATCTTCCTTTACATGTTACCTAGGCATTTGTAATGTAAACCTCTATGTGATTCGACATCTAACGCTGGTAGTTTGCCTCTAAGAAGACTCTTTCCTTAGACCTGTCTAAGAATGATGGAAGGTTCAATAAGACAAAAGATTTGACTGGAATCTCTGCACCTTATGAGACCTTAGAACTTCAGTATTCATTCCTACAACTACTTATTCAAATCGATGTGATTTAGATATTTTCTAGTTTCCTAATTAATCTAATTTACTTTTCCTTGTCTGTAGGGCGCGCCACCTGGACCTTGGGACATGAAGGGCGCGCACGCCGCGCACGCACTGCACCATCAGGCGGCACCGCAACCGCACCCGCCCTATGTGCCACAGTACTCCTGGTACCAGCCTGATGCCAACCCTGGACTCCTCACGTGAGTATTTACAACATACTAGGAGATCATAGTTGAAGATAAAGCACAAGATATATGATGGACCTTTCAACCCTTACTTACTAAACTCATGTAGATCTATTTTACTTGATTATCTTGTATCATAGATAGATAACTGTTATTCTAATCGTTTACAGTGAAAACGGTCTTGCGTTATTCCATCGCATGGGCCTCAGACCACAATATTTGGGACCACATGAACAGAACAACTATGACAGCTGAGGAATTTCGACTTTTAGTTAATTGTAGCACATTATATCTAGCCAACTATACTTTATGTAACTAAAACGTGAGATAAAGGTTATAATGGCATGCATATGTAGGTCGCGTCGCTCAGAATTTCAATAGTTATGAACGAAATTTTACAAAGCAATTTGACCTCAATATCATTGACGGTCGAATAGGTTGATGCGTTTTATTGCATAAAGAGAGGTCGTTATTATGACTTATATATATGGACTCTAGTACAATTACTATCTATTTGTCTATGGAACTAAAAGAATTTTAGCATGTTCGTGTAAATAAAAAAGTACAAATGTTTATGGTAGGGATTTTATTAGAATTACGTCCTTTCTTGATTTGCTGTAATCAATTTATTAATGAAAGAAATTGTTTGTCAACAGGGTTTGGCCCGCAGTGTAACAGCCATCGGACAAACAGACGATAAATAAATATAATGCAAGTATAGTTCACAATGGCGGGAAAGCGAAATAAAGAGCGTTCACTCGGCGCCATATTTAATTTTAAAACTATGTATCGGCACAACCAACGTTAAATTAAGGAAATTATTTAATAGAATTATAATTGTACATTTTTTTATATTTAAAATAATGCGTTATTGTTTAAAATGGTTACTGTACATGTTATAAACTATAATAAATCGATAAATAATTAGGTATGAAGTTGACCAAATTTGGACGAACTACTTTTCTGTTCTGTTCGTTATTAAAAACGCTAAAATAAATAACCTATTTTTTTTTCTTTATATAAATATGCATGCCACTATATCCCGACAAAAATCACTACATTCCTTTTGATTAAAGTCTTATATATCTTATATTGTACAGCAATATGTAAATGGAAAAAAAAATACAGACGAATTGAGTACCTCCTTCTTTTGGGAAGACGGTCAAAAAAATGTCTCCTTTCCTTTTTATGTATAGACATTTTTTTATAATTCTTTACATTTATGTTTACGTGATTACGGCATAAAATTTATTGATCTAATGAATATTCTTGCCATTACTTAAATGTCCTCAAATTGTAAAGGAAGCTTGTATATTTAATGTTATCGAGCGTGAATAAAACAATCTCCCTAATGCAATTTTGTGTTGTACTAAAAATTCGTTTATAATATCAAACTCTAGAATAAATGTATTTTGATTTATTATGAAATATTTAATATGCAAGCTTTAAATGATTTTTTATTTATTTTAAAACCTGGCGCACACCTTTGACTAAACTATCGTTTTTAGTTGTGCAACTAAACAGTTGAAGGCTGCGAAACAACCGACAATCGCACAACCGTTGAGTAGTTTAGTCAAAGATGTACACCAGCGCTTTCTTAATTCAAATCGGGAACACAAACCATGCTGTTGTGATAAATATTTTTAAGTTTTTTTGCTTTCCTATAGCAAACCAATTGTATTTATTTTTTTATTCAAGCAAATGTGTTCTGTATGCAAATGTATTTAAGACGTGAGTAATTTTATTGTGTTATTAATATTAACTGCAATTTCATTATTTTATTCTATTTCAACATATATTTAACTATGATCGCATGGACAGTATTTCCTTTTTATACGTTGTTATGTTAATATTAGATATTATATTATATACATACAGATAATTAAAGATTTTTAATCTGTTATTGGAAGTATTTTTAATCTTTGGGCAGATTACTTTCTTACGATCATAGATTAAAAAATTCAATCAATGTCATAGATTAAAGATATTTATTCTATGATTTTTTATGATTTTTTTTATATCATTAATCTATGGTTTTATTTAAATATGTACATATTAAACATAATTTACTGCTGGCCAGTCTTACATATTCATGTAAGTATATAGTAATACTGTTCATGCTCTCTGATTATGGTTATTTTTCTTTAAAATGGGTCTCTACGGGATGAATTAAATTTTTGTAAATATTTTTTGTATTATATAGAATATAAATATACATATAAATATAGATAGATAGTATAATTACTTTACAACTGCATTGTATTATAATAAGGAAAGTGGAAATAAGAAAAAATGAATTAATTTCTTTTGTCAAATAAAAAAAGCAAAACATTCTTTATGTGTTTTATTACCTATTGTTTATTATTAATTTTAATAATTATTCACTTAAATATTAAATTAATATACATTGACAAGATAAAAATCAAGGAAATATTTCTTGTAATTCCCCTAAAGTAGTTAATGCAACAAATATTATTGAAACTAGGATATAACAAACAAGAATATTAAGGTTAACATAGAATAAATTACAAAAAAATAAAAAGTAAAATAACATTTAGTTAATCTTATCACCACTACAATAAGTAAGAAAAGATTCACAGTTACTAATAAAATCTACACAAATCGCCTTATATCTTCTCATCTAAATGTGCCTTATCTAAAACATTGAAAGTACCAAAACTAACAAAGATGAAAATCAAGTCTCAATTACAGGAAATGTAACGTTACGTCAATACTTTTCAATACTGTGTCCGAATAGCATAAGGGAGGAAATTAAAAACTCGACAATCTATTTAATAAACCTTGGTATGAGCAATACGTACGCGACATGAGCATGAAACATGGTAAGTACGGAAAAGACCAGTATCTTTGGTGCATAAACGAGTTTCCCTAAGAACCCGAGAACACCTTTGACTAAACTATCTAACAATGTTTAGTCGCTTTTTTTTTTTTTGACTGAATGGCCACTGTTTGCC